TTTGATAACACTATTATATTACTCAGGGTTCTCCATAGAAACAGATCCAATAAAATAGGGGAGAGAAACAATGAGAAAGAGAATTTATTTTAAGAAATTGGCTCACATGATTGTGGGGCTGGCAATTCTGAAATGCAAGGACAAGCTGGCTGGCAGGCTGGGGACCCAGGGAGAAGAGGTTGCAGTTTAAGCCTAAAGGCTGTTTGGATGCAGGCTTCCCTTCTTCCTTCAGAGACCCCAGTCTTTTCTTGTAAGGCCTTCAACTAGTTGAATGAACCTTCCCCCCATTATGCAAATAATACTTTCATTCAAATTTACTATTTAAATATTAAAACATATAAAAAGTACATTCACAGCAACACCTAGACTGGTGTTTGACCAAAAACTGGGTACCATAGCCTAGCAAGTTAACACATAAAATTAACTATCAAAACCACCAATATCCTTTTTTTTAAAGATTGTATTTTTATTTATTTTGAGAGAGGGAGGAAAAAAAGGAGAAAGAAAGGGAGAGAAACATCAATGAGCAGCAGAAACATCAATCAGTTGCCTCTTGCACATACCCAACTGCAGACATGGCCCACCACCCAAGCATGTGCCCTGACCAGGAATTGACCTGGAAACCTTTTATTTTTTTTAAGTATATTTTATTGATTATGCTATTACAGTTGTCTCACTTTTTTCTCCCCTTTATCCCCCTCCTCTCTGCATTGCCCCCTCACCCTCCAGTATTCCCATCCCCACAGTTCATGTCCATGGGTTGTACATATAAATTATTTGGCTTCTCCATTTCCTATACTATTCTTAACCTCCCCCTGTCTATTTTGTACCTACCTATTATGCTTCTTATGCCCTCTGCCATTCCCCCCCCATTCTCCCCCTCCCCCTCCAAGCTGATAACCCACAATGTGATTCCATTTCTGTGATTCTGTTCCTATCCTAGTTGTTTGCTTAGTTTTTGTGTTGTTTTTTAAGGTTCATTTGTTGATAGTTGTGAGTTTGTTATCCCTTTACTGTTCATAGTTTTTGATTTTCTATTTCTTAGATAAGTTCTTTTAACATTTCACATAGTAAGGGCTTGGGGGTGATGAACTCCTTTAACTTTCTCTTATCTGGGAAGCACTTTATCTGCCCTTCCATTCTAAATGATAACTTTGTTGGATAAAGCAATCTTGGATGTAGGTTCTTGCCTTTAATGACTTGGAATACTTCTTTCCAGCTTCTTTTTGCCTGTAAGGTTTCTTTTGAGAAATCAGCTGAAAGCCTTATGGGAACTCCTTTGTAGGTAACTGTCTCCTTTTCTCTTGCTGCTTTGAAGATTCTCTCCTTATCTTTAAACATGGGTAACTTAGTGATGATGTGCCTTGGTGTGTTCTTCTTTGGGACTCTCTGGGCTTCCTGGACTTCCTAGAAGTCTATTTCCTTCACCAGATTGGGCAAGTTTTCCTTCATTATTTATTCAAATAAGTTCAATTTCTTGCTATTCCTCTTCTCCTTCTGGTACTCCCATGATCCAGATGTTGAAGTGCTTAAAGTTGTCCCAAAGGTTCCTAAGCCTCTCCTCATTTTTTTTTTTTTTTGCATTCTTATTTCTTCATTCTGTTCAGATTGGGTGCTTATTTGTTCCTTTTGTTCCAAATCATTGCTCTGAGTCCTGGTTGCCTTCCCTTCACTGTTGGTTCCCTGTATATTTTCCTTTATTTCAATTTCTGTAGCCTTCATTTCTTCCTTCATTTTGCAACTAAGCTCAATCAATTCTGTGAGCATCCTGATTACCAGCATTTTGAACTCTGCATCAGACAGGTTGTCTATCTCCACGCCACTTAGTTCTCTTTCTGGAGTTTTGATCTGTTCTTTCATTTGGGCCATATTTCTTTATCTCAGTGCACCTGTTACATGTAAGGGGTGGAGCCTTAGGTATTTGCTAGGGCAGGCAACCTTTTTTTTCTTGTCCATGGTTCATGCATGGTAAATTCTTTGGCTACTCCATTTCCTATACTATTCTTTTAAAAAAAAAACACTTTATTTACACATTTTATTTGTATCTATTTTTTATTGTTGTTCAAGCACAGTTGTCTCCACTTTCCCCCTGCCACCCTCCCCCACCTCACCCACCCCTACCTTCCACCCTAATTCCTACCCACCTTTGGCTTTGTCCATGGGTCCTTTATATTTATTCCTTGATGACTCTTCCCTTTCTTTTCCCCATTATCCCCCTACCTCCTCCCCTCTGGTTACTGTCAATTTGCTCTTTATTTCAATGTCTCTGGTTATATTTTGCCTGCTTATTTGTTGTGTTGATTAGGTTCCACTAATAGGTGAGATCATATGTATTTGTCTTTCACTACCTGGCTTATTTCACTTAGCATAATGCTTTCCAGTTCCATACATGCTGTTGCAAAGGGTAGGAGCTCCTTCTTTCTGTTGCATAGTATTCCATTGTGTAAATTTCTGCACTATTCTTAACAGCCCCCTGCCTATTCTGTACCTACCAGTTTGTACTTCTAAATTCTGTACTTTTCCCCCTATTCTTCTTTCTTCTCCCAACTGGTAACCATCCAAGTGAGCTCCATATCTATGATTCTATTTCTGTTCTGCTTGTTTGCTTAGTTTGTATTTAGGTTCAATTGTTAATAGTTGTGAATGTATTGCCATTTTAAAGTTCATAGTTTTGATCTTCTTCTGTTTCTTATATTACTCCCTTTAACATTTCATATAATAATGGCTTGGTGATGATGAACTCCTTTAACTTAACCTTGTCTGGGAAGCTCTTTATCTTCCCTTTGGTTCTAAATGATAGCTTTGCTGGATAGAGTAATCTAGGTTGTAGGTCCTTGCTTTTCATCACTTTGAATACTTCTTGCCAGTGCCTTCTAGCCTGCAAAGTTTCTTTTCAGAAATCAGCTGACAGTCTTATGGGAACTCCTTTATAGTTAACAACTATCTGCTTTTCTCTTACTGCTTTTAAGACTCTCTCTTCATCTTTAATCTTTGACATTTTAACTAGGATATGTCTTGGCATAGGCCTCTTTGCATATATCTTATTTGGGATTCTCTGTGCTTCCTGGACTTGTATGCCTATTTCCTTCACCAAATTAGAGAAATTTTCTTTCATTATTTTTTCAGATAAGTTTTTCATTTCTTCCTCTTTCTCTTCTCTTTCTGGCATCCCTATGATTCGAATGTTGGTACATTTGAAGTTGTCCCAGAGGCTCCTCTCTTATTGTCATTTTTTTGGATTCTTTTTTCTTCTTGCTATTCTGATTGAATTTTTTTTATCCTTTGTGTTCTAAATCATTTATTTGATTCTTGGTTTCATCCATTCCCCTGTTGATTTCCTATAAATTTTTCTTTATTTCACTTAGTGTAACCTTCATTTTTGCCTGGGTCTTTTTTAATGCTGTTGAAGTACCCAGTGAGTTCCTTGAGTATCCTAATAACCAGTGGTTTGAACCCTGCATCTGATAGATTGCTTATCTCCATTTTGTTTAGTTCTTTTTCTAGAGTTTTGTTCTGTTCTTTTGTTTGGATCATATCTCTTTGTCTCTTGATTTTGGCAGCCTCACTGTGTTTATTTCTATGTATTAGGTTGAGCTGCTTTGACACCTGTCTTATTAATGTGGCCTATTGTAGAAAACTGCACCTATAAGTTGGATGAGGCACAGCCTTAGGTAATCACCATGGTGAGGCAACCCGTGTGAACCAGGTTGATGGAGTTTCAGACTTTGTGGCTTTGTGTAGGGGAGGGCTCAGAAAAGAGACAATGGCTGCCATCTGGCCTGTCAAGTTTGTTCTAGGAGGAAGCTGTCCCCCTGGCACTTGCCCTGATGCCAGACACACAGTTTCTCCCGGATGTCATGAGTGCCCTTCCAGCTACTGCCCCAGTGTAGAGCCTAGAGGGAGTGAGTCTGCTGTGGGCCCTTTAAGAGAAGATGCCTGAGAATCCTGCAGTTTCTCTTCAGCTACCCCAACCCTCACTGGTTTTTACAGTCAGAAATTATGGGGACTTATCTCTAGGCACTGGAACCCTGGGCTGGATGATCTGGTGTGAGGCTGGGATCCCTTGCACCCAAGATATCTCTCCCAATTTTTATCTACCACACGTGGGTATGGGACTGTATGTTTTGCATATCCACATTTCCATGTCTCTGCCCCTCCTTCCCGTCCAAATGAATGTGACTTCTTTAATTCCTTGGTTGTTGGACTTCCACACCACTCAATTTTCTGATGATTCTGGGTGATAGTTATTTTGTAGTCTACTTGTAATTTTTGCTGCATTTCTGAGAGTAGGTGAGCCATGTTTACCTATGCCTCCATCTTCACCGGAAGTCCAGGGTAATACTCTTTATTATCCCAGTTATTACAGATATAATTCGTTCAACCAATTTGTCTCTCCCTGAAACAAATCAAGCCAATCCTTCATCAAACTGTGTGCAAGATTTCTGTGTACTAAAAACTGTATGAAATATCCGTTGGCCTGTGTTTTTCTTGGCCTACATATTACTCAACAGTAGTTGACAGAGTTTTGTTTTGTTTTGTTTTGGTTTTATATCAACTGTATGGCTTTTACCACCTTTGGCTACATATTTTCTGTTGACAAACACTTTTTAGACACACCACAGCATTAGGTGCTATCACCTTCCACCAGCATGCATCTCTTATCAATTAAAGTATCCCAGTTGCTTTGATACAGATAAGTAATTGCAATCCTTTTGTTTATAAATCTGTGCCTTGTATTAAACATTCATGGCATCTACACAGTGAACAAAAATACACAAAGTATTCCACCTCTAATGAAAGTTTAATCATGATCTGATAGCAGGTGCTTACAGAGAGCCCAGGGCAGCAACTTTGTGGCATGATCTCCTTGCTGGTCAAAAGTAGGGATAGCACTCTTTACCTGGCCATCTGTGCCAACCACCACTCCTCTACTGCCAGACCTCTCTTTCATCTTGACAACTTCCTTCTTCCAATTATTTACATCATATAATTAAAAGGCTATGGAGATCTCAGACCAGAAACAACTCCCCCAAAAGCTGGATTTGGAGGAGATAACTAGGAAAATTTCATTTCTTGACAAATGGAGGGAAATCTTTAGTTATCACAGGTAAGATATTCTCATTTTCTTATTTTTCTAGAGCCAGAGGGATTTTAAGTGTTTAAGTAATCAGCTTTTTTTGCTTGCTACATGAGAAGTCTCCACTATAGATTTACATTAAAAGCACTGCAGTTCTAATGATTTTCAGAAAAAGACTTCCCTAGCAAGGTTGGGATTGAGGTTTACAGATGTGATGGTTGAATAGAGTGAATAATTTTCTTGATGTTTCCTTTTTCATTTTTAGATTGGGAACCAATAATACAACTTCTCAGGTAATTACTTTTCTCAAAGACAATGGGTTTTCCTCTGGTTGTTTCTTCAAACGACCATGTTAACAGCAAAATCTGCACTTATTCTACACACACAATGTCATTCAGGCACCTGGCATTTAACACACAAAAACACTAGAAAGTCTGTTGAAGATCTTTCCTTGTGCTTTCTTTTTTTCATAAAAATCTCTTCCTACTTTTTATCATTAAGAGCACCATATGGTTATTATTTTAGAAAAAAGTAATATTAGAATCTAGAGTTCCTACACTTGTGAAATAATGCTATATTCTAACAACAAAGTGCTTCAGTGTCCCTGAAGAAAAATTGTTTTGAAAATACTTATCTTTATTCAGCTTCTGAGAAATCATTTTCCTTCACCATTTTCAAAGGAGAGAAAGATGACTGCATGCGGGTGTTGAAAAGGCATTTTAAAATCTGTTATACAATATAAGGTGAAAAATGTTTGTAACTCATGTCACCTAAAAAGGTTAGAAGGTAATAGACTGTATTTCAGATTCTTATTCAATCATTGAACAAACATAGTACAAAATATTAAGGTGACTTTCACTAGTGTATGATATGACTGAACAATTGAATGATTAATATTTTAACCATAACACTAAAGCATCTTGTCCCAGTAACCTGTGATCAAAAGCCTTATTTATGCTACTCTTTTAACATAGTCTAAATTAGAATCAGGGAGACAGTGATTCTAGTTTAGTCCTGGAAGTACTGAATGGAGATAGCTACCATTTGAGGGAATACTCAAATAATAAAACAATCTTTAAATAAATAAATAAATGCCAAGTTATGCCTCACACAGGTGGGGGGAAACCCCTGGCACAAAGGGAAAGATTTTCCATGTGATTTACAAAAATGTATCTTATCACATCAATAGTCTGTGACTTGGATGCTGTGTTTCTGAGATAAGAAAGCATCTTCACCTCTAGGAAGCCAGAAACACTGAAAAGGCAGTTTCCTTCATGCTTCAGTTACCCATAGGGCAGATTTGTTTCATGACATCGGTATAGAAGTGAAGGAAATTGGAAGAAGAGTTGATGCTAACTTGTATATAAATGCCATAAAATCAGCCAAGGAAAATAAAAATAGATATTTTTTCTTTAAAGATGGGGGGTGAATTTTTTTAAAGAAGCAAACTCTACTCACTTATTAGGGAATGGGAATGTGAGAGAATTAAAAGAAGGTAATCTGACTTCATTTATTGTCCACTTAACAACACAATGAAAAATACCTCATATAGACCAAAAAGATTCAGTCATTGTTTATAAAATGCTGTCCTCTCAAAATAAGACACAGTGACATTTATATTCTCCTCTAAACATAATTTCAAGTGAAGGTCTTGATAGCATTAATTATGTTTGCATAATTAATAAAAATCAAGAGGTTACATTTAACCTCTTCAAGTCGCCTAAAACTTATGAGAAACATTTTGACACAGACACTGGGATTTTTCTGCTTCCTTTATTGCCACTTATCACAATTTTTAGATATCTTAAAACGGGAGACAATATTTTCTGGAAAAAAAATTTTTTCAGAGAGAAAGAAAGAAAAGCTGGAGAAAGGTTGTCACAGCTCTGTTTCCTTTGTTTTCGGTGACGGCATTTTATACAGAATCCCGAAGGCAGCCATGCATCTGCTGATGAAAGTAAAGATGGGCCAGGAATGCCTTGGCCCAAAGGACATGGACTCTTGACATCAAGCAGCCTTTGTTCTTTGCCCAACCCCTCCTCTATCATCTCTTCAAAATCAGGCGGCATTCCTATCTCCCTAGCAATGGCTATGGTGAGTATAGCTTGTCAATTAAACATGAAACGAAACATAATCTTACCCAAACAACAGGGCTGGATAATCTTATCTGCTATCATGTGAGAGTATTATTGAAGATAAGAATACAGCTGGTTGTTATTGGTAAAAGGAGAATATAATTAAAATGACTTATTTATAGTATTTTTCAAGGACACCAGTGACATTACAATCTTCTCTCAAATTCCAAGTCTTTCTTTATTCACTTTCTTGATTTGACAGTTAAATTTGAGGGAGTAAGAGAGTTCAAGTCAAATAATTCACTTTATAAGGTAGGGTAGATCAGACAGTGAACACTACAAATGCATAAGACAACATCGATGGCTGAGACAGGACCCGGTCCAAGTGTGGGCAGGAGGGAGAAGGTAGGGGACCTGTACCAGACCCAGTCCTGGGGCAAGAGCTAATCTCAGGAAAGAAAAGTTTTCTGGGGCTGACAACTGATACACACATTTGAAAAGAAACCAACATTTGAGGATCCAAGTGGATCTGGAAGCTTCTGGTCCTAAGGACCATTTGGTCAACTCAAAATTTTGCCAGGGATGGGTGAATCGCTGAGACAGAGACCCAGCTAGGAAGCAAAACTAGCAGCTTCTCATTGAATCAAACAGGCCAGTGCTGGATGCAAAGCCTTGGCAAACATCCCAAGGACCAGCTGTCATGGTCAAAGAGGAATGCTGGGAACTGGGAAAGCTTAGCCAGGGGTGGAACTAGGAAAATGGCACCAGCTTCGATGAGAGATCCCTCCAATTGCACAGCCCTCCAATGTAACCCTCACATTCACCTGATCCCCCAACTTCACACTACTTTCTAGAGTCTCAGGCAGAGACGTCTCCCCGGGGGCCCTAAGAACAAGAGGAAGAAGCAGCACTTCCTTCGTGAGCACAGGCTGCCCTCCACCTGGGCATGGGTGCAGAAACCTCCCCGGACCAGCCTGGTCATGTGAGCCAAGACTAGCAATATTTGCCCTGTCAGGCCCACTGTGTGCTTACAGCTCCACGGTCCTTGCGCTGCACCCATGGCCCCTGCTGAGGGGGTTCTGGGGTCTGGAAACCCTTCTGGGGAAGCTACACAGTCTCCATCTGCTTTTTGAGCAGAGGCCGAGCTGGCCTGGACTGCAGTATTTCCAACTCTCAATATAGCTTCTCTTTAAGTTCCCCAGATGAAACAGCATCAGCTAAGGGAGTCCAGCCCCCCAATTGTATTCTATGGTGCGTAATCTCACAGGCTTCACAGAGCTGCTCTCCACTGTCACATTTGCTCTGTCTCGTCAAAAATCTTTCCACCTCAACTCACCTTCCCTCTTCTGCTCAAATGCCAGATGTCATAGGAGGATAAGTCAGCAGGGCTCTCAGAAGATACTACTCTTTGCTCATTGGCCTCACTGCCCCTCAGTAGTGCCTTAACCCCTTAACCTGTGTCTTAGGTACCTCATGAATCCTCTCCTTGTGGGTAATGAAGACAGGTGATGCATTACCCTTTCGTGGCCAGCCTCAGTGGCCAGGCTACCACACTGTGCCAGAAGACAAAAGTTAGAGCAACTGCCTGTATTTTACTGGATGGGATAAAGTTTTTAATGAATGATCTCTAATAAAAATATATATATATATATATAGGAAAATAGGCTACTTTCTGTGTGAATAAGAGAGAAAACTATGATACTATATTGGAGTTTGCCTGCATATGCATTCAGAAATTCCAGAAGACTTCAAAATGTGTGACCGTGGGGGGAAGAACGGGAACAAGAGGCATGGGTGCGAGGGAGTCTTCTCAGTTGCCTTTCTGTACTCTGGATTTTGAACCATGTGAAAGTACAACCTATTTTTAAAAACACACAAACAAATTTTAAAAATAGAAAAAAGGCATTCACAGATGCTTCCAATGTCCTCTAGTCTCTCTGTGTGTCTCTCTCTGTGTGTCTCTCTCTGTATTTCAGAGACAGGAGAATCTGGGTCTGAATTCTCTCACTTCTCTATAAACACAAATATGATGCAATTGAAGACCTCCCCAATGACTTTTCCAAGGTAATTCTCTACCTTTGGAAAAGGCAGGGAGACAAAAAGAATTAGACTACTGTAGCCTGAAATGGAGTTGATGGAGTATTAAGGAAGTCCCAGAAGTAGAGATAATTGATTTTTCTTAAAAAAAAAATAGGACTTATTCCCATTATATGGGCCAAATGATAGTGTGTCCTTTAAATAGTGGTAGCATTGATTAAACACACCCTGGGACTTGACGAGCCTTGGGATTCTGGATGTGTGTGCTCCAGGCAGTGGTTTGGAAGCTTGACCAATTCTAATCAGCCTTTCAGCAGGCAATGCAGCTGCCTAGCCAATTATCAGAGCTACTGACTCCTAATACCCACTTAGAAATGCATTTGTTGTCATTCTGCTGTTTTCTTTCCACCTTCTGTTTAAAGTAGGGATGCGTGGGATTTCCTGACTGGCACACACTGTTTGCTGGGAATCTGCTGAGAAAGTAGGTGTGAGTGAAGCACACTATATACCCTTGCTTTCCTTGGCTCTCCTGTTTCTCACCTTTTTGTTGTCCTAGTTCCAATACCACAGCCTTCTTCATCTCCCCAGCCTAACGTCTAATGGTGTGTGTGCTGCAGTGAACTCTGGTCAAGACTGCTGGCCCAGGGGAGCTGAGGACGAGGGCAGCACCTGCCTCCGGGTTCTTCCACCAGGCTCACTCCACTGCCTGCCTTCCCCCCAGTGGCAATTTTTCATCCTCCTCCACAGCCAGGCTCTTCTCCAAGACCCAGCCTGTAACACACTCCTGTAGCCTCTTTCCTCGGCAGCCAATAATCAAACCCCACGCAGCAGGATCATACTAAAAATGTCATACTGGGAGAGCAAATATTTGGGGGGAGACCCAGATGAAGCTGTAATAGAGGGTAAGAGGCAATGATGTGACTTTTGGAGAGCAGGAAGCGCAGCCTGGTCACCCCAGAATAAGGTCTGGCCAATAGATGGACTTCAGGAAGTATTTACTTAATTTGTTAATTCACTGCTCTGGACAATCCTCTAGAGAGACACCTGAGTGTGGGGTGTGGGTATCATTCCTGTACCACTTCAGATGCACTCTCTACCCTTCCCTCCCTTCTCCAACCTGCTCCCTGCCCAAGAGACTGACTGTAGGGACTCTCTCAACAGTGCTGCCTCCTCCTCTTGCTTCCTGTTGAGTATGACCTATGAGAGCTGTGGAGGGAGACTGGAGGGGGGAAGAGAATAAAGTTGGGCTGTGCATAGCTGGCTGGATCCTCCACCTCCCGCCACCCCCACTCCCCTTCCCCTGCCCCAGTGCAGTCTTCTCCTCAGCACTCTCCTTCCCAGTTTAGGTAACCACACTTGCCCCTACTCTTTAAGTCAGGGGAGATAACCACTTCTGAGTGTTGTTGGTACTGGGACCCTGCATTAGCTATTGTGGTTTCCCCATATGTGGCCCACATCTTTGTAAGTAGTTCCTGTATTAAACTTTCCTCAAGTTAATTATCCTGAGTCAAGAGTCCTGCTGGGACCCTGACTGGTACAAGTTGAAAGGCTTGCATTTGGGTCCTGGCACTGCCACTTACTAAGTATGTGACATTTCACTTAACTACTCTGGATCTCAAGTCCTTTAACTATAAAATGAAAGGGTTGAATTAGATTTTTTAAAAATTATTTCATAAGTGCTTATTGTAAGCTACTCTGTACCAGGCACTATTCCAGATGCTGACAAATCCATGATGAACACAGTCAAGCCAAGAGCCTAGTACTGTATTTGATGGGCTAGGAGAGAAATGTCTTCTCAGGACTCACTAGTTCTAACATCTCTGATTCCTTGATGGTCCAGTAATTTTTAAGGCAAGAAAAGATTTGGGGATAGAGCCTCAAAGAGAATCATTCTACTACAGGTTAGGTGGTGGGGGTGGGGTAGAAGATGGACTGGGCTAGGTTGTCACAGGGAAACTCTAAGCCCAGGGACAAGGGACAAGCAGCAGGGGTGAGTAAATTGAGCCTGTTGGGAAGAATGATCCAGGACCTCTGCCTCTATGTGAGTGTGTTAATGATCATCATCATTATTATCATCATCACTGCAACCAGGAGAGAGGTATTCAATGCAAATCCTAGAAAAGAAACAGTGAAAAGAGAAGAACTATAAAATGCGCTTGATTGTATTAAATAACAATGATCACCACAGTCATTTGTTAGGACTGTTTACCATTTGGGTCTCGTTACTAGGCAGCACAACGACGTATGTAGATCACTGAATATGCATCAGGTTAATCTCGTTGTAAATTATATTTGATATGAAAGTAAATGGGTGAGACGAATCATCTTTGTTGTTATGCTAACCAGTGGGGTTTGGCCTGAGAGACATGCAGGCCCCTCGGTTCTCAGGTTCTCAGCCTCCCCCAGGTGCATCTAGACAGTGACATTCTTTAAGGTGGAGGTGGCAGATGGCAACAGAAACAAGAAAAGGGGTGGTTGGCTTGCAGAATTTTTCTAACTGAATATGTATTCTACGCCTTCTCAGTCTCAAGAGTTGTAATCTTTCACATTCGTACACTGCTTCTCCTCCCTGATTCCAGACAGTCTCTGGTCTTTTTCCATCTGTGTTAGGATTTTCTTCCTCCAGCACAAGATGTTCCAGAGTAGTCAGGCTGTGTTTTCACAAAGGTAATAACGCTCCAGATTTACTCAGCACTTCTTGGTCCCAAAGCCCTTTTCTGTTCGTCTTCTCTTTCAAGGATTGCTAAGATGTGGACCTAGCAGGGGTTCTCCCCATTTGGGGATAAGCAAATAAAGTCTTACAGAGGTTGGGCACTCGGTCCAAATCCACATGGTCAGCAGGGGGCATCCAACTGGGCTTCTCCGCACTGGCCAGCTATGCAGCCTTGATGTCAGGGGAGCACTTTCCATGATTTCAATCCTCTGCTGGGGAAATCCTGGGCCAGTGGCCCTCTTTGGCTGTGTTACGCACTGAGTCTATGTCTTCTAAGAGCAGCCTGTGTGTCCGTCTGCTTCCTCGCCCTGGTTTGCTGTTGCCCTGAGACACAGATGGTTCATTTTTCCCTAAGTGCAGCTCTGAGCCCTTGCTCACACTGAAATGCACCTGCCTCTAGTTCTCTCTGAAGAGACAATCTTCTCTTTCGAGGACAGGAGCAGAGATGGATAGGAAAGAAACTCCAGCCATGGAACCAGACCATGGTCTGACACGGGGAAGACCATTCCATGTGCTGCTTCTCCTGCATCTGTCCCTCTTAGAGACGTGAGGGCCAGCTTCCCCCACAGCCGGGAAGAGGTGCCACAGCTCTCTCTGGTCCTGTTGGGCTCCAGGTTCTTTGTCCAAGGCTCTGGATGCAAGCATCAGCTCCAAAGTACTTTCCAGTCTCAGTTTTTACTAACTTCCTGCCCTGAGGCTGTGAAACACACGGGTTCCAGTCCCACTGAACTACTCCCTGTGCCTTGACACCCTAAATACTGGGTGTGTGTTTGCAGATCTTTCTCTCTGTCTGACCTCTCCTCACTACAGGCAGTAGGCCTGTCCCAGACAGCGGGATGGGTGCCTCTCCTGAAGCATGGGGTGCATCATTAAGCACCATATTAAACAACCTGAGTTATTTCATCTGCTGGGGAAGTTAGCCCCTGGCAGGCCGGGGCAACATACGTTCACTCCTCTTCAATACTTCTTACCTCCTTTTTTAACTGAAACAAGTGTGAGCTCTGATTGAGCTTTCACAGGCAACAGCTTCTAGCCATCATTCAACAACACTGTTTTATTTCCACTATATTTTTTATCATGTATGGCAAGTGATTTTGATTTTCATTTAAGGAGGTAATACAGAGTATCCCTGTTAAGTTATAACTTTCTAAGTTACAAAGAATGGCCCAAACTAATGAAGGAGTTTAAATAATGACTTGCACACAGAAGTGACAGCAGTCATAGGCCAGCACACGCAGGTTAAAGCTGGGCAGGCAAAGCAGTGGGGTGAGAATGGGCACAAATCCCAGCTCTTTCTTTGTCCATTGGCTGGGTGACTTTTGGCAAATACTTCTCTGTAAAAAGGGGATCATAATGTACCTACCTCAAAGGATTATATTAACATAGTGAATGTAAAGCACTTAGCTCAGTGCCTGGTGCATAGATAATGCTCAATAAATGCTAGATGTCATTTTTCAGCCTAGTAGAAAAGTTACCTCTTCCATGAAGCCTTCCTAGGTACCTCCATCAGCATTTCTCTCTCCTTCCTTTGTTCTTTCATGGTACTTTGCACTTGATTGCACTTGACTTATAGAACTTCACACTTTCTGTCTTGTACATAGTTATGCAATATTAGACTTTTTATATGTCTGTGTCCCATACAGGACCTCGCACATGCTACTAATACACTTCTGATTATGAATGGGTTCCCTTTTTTGCATGTGTTCATTTTACAAAGGCTTGTTTCCTTTTTTTCCCTGGGGAAGCTTTAAAGATGGTTTCCAATCTTTTTTTTTTAAGATTTTTTTATTCATTTATTTATTTTTAGAGAGGGGAAGGGAGGGAGAAAGAGAGAGAGAAATATCAATGTGTGGTTGCTTCTCACATAGTCCTCACTGGGGACCTGGCCTGCAACCCAGACATGTGCCCTGACTGGGAATCGAACCTGCAACCCCTTGGCTCACAGCCCATGCTCAATCCACTGAGCTACACCAGCCAGGGCGATGGTTTCCAATCTTAATATACTATAGAGCATCCTGGAAAACCTTAGAGTCTGGGGCAAGAGAACAGAGAATACTTGTTTAATATCATTTAAACCACTATGCTACTCAGGCCACAAACACAGAGTCCTGTCTATTCCTTTTTTTGTGGAGCAGGCACAAAGACCAAGCCACAGCCTGGTGTGTGCTACAAGAGTGTGAAGGACAGATAGCTGGCAATGAAAGGGGAGACGGATGCAAGGGACACAAATCAAACAGGGACAGCAAGGAGGGTGGTTGACACACTAAGCCTTTGAGACAAAATGTCCTAAGTGAACCTGATGTGAATCTTTTGCATAGGACTTTACAATTAAAATAAAGAAAGGGAGTAATACGTAAGCCTGAATGTAAGAAGCGGACAGGTCCATCTCCATGATTTCGCAGTTTCACTTAAGATGGAACGATGAGGAATGTGTTTCAGAATAATTTTCTTCATTTGAGTAAACCATTTCTCTCCCCTTTTCTCAGAGGCTGCGGCAGAGCCTCTTTGGAAATGCAGTCCATACCTTCAGCTGTGACTGGGAAGATGCCTGTTTCAGGTTCCACAATCCTTTTTCTGACCTGGCTTTTGCTTTGGAAGTGGGAAAGGTAAGAGCAGGTGACAGTTTTTAAAAGTCCCAGTTCCACGTTCCTTATCTATGATTCCTTTCATTCTCATCCACGTGAATGCAAGTTTTCATTACAATCACCTATAGAAACGTACTGAGAATTTAAAATTTAACTCTAAATGATAACAGACTTTAAAATTTACTGTCTGGGTTGTAACAAATACTCAAACTCCTTTTTCTCCTTCCTCCCACCTTCTAAATTCTACCTTTCCTGGCTCTTTTCTCCAAGTCCCAAGCATCCCCAAGGACATAGAGGCGGGAGGAGATCTAGCAACTTCTTTTTGGCTTTTTTAAAACCTCAACAATTCATGTCATTGATCAGTGGTCACACAGAATTTCAAGAGCTAGCCGTCTATTTCCTTACCTCCTACAAATCTAAAAGCTCGACATAAAGCAGGGGCATTGTGGTGATGGGCAGAGAGGGACACATACCCCAGGTTCCAGTCTGCGGGGCTGCACAAGAGGCTGGCCACTGCGGACTCTAGCCTCTGGGAGTTCATGGGAAGGGATGGCACAGTGTGGCCCAGTGTCCCTTGATGAGCCCAGTGGATGCTATATACCAGGAGGGAAAAAGACTGCACAGAAAAATAGATCGTGACATCCATTTTCAAGAGTTCCCCTTTGTACTGCTAGCACTGAGAGGCTCCGTTACAATTGTAAAGCCCTGCTCCCAGCCTCACTATTCATCTTCGCCTTCCCAGGGAGGTGCCCGAAGCATTCAGATGGCCGTACAAGGATCCATCATCAAATACTTGTTGTTTACAAGGAAAGGGAAAGACTGTAACTTCCACAGGTAAGAAGCCCCTGAGAAGTACTTGGAAAATTACTCATTTCCTGAGAATCTTTATATGCTAAATAATAGCAGAAAATCCCCTGGGTCTCCTCAGGAAGGGGACTTGCTCCGAAGACAGAAATGGGGCTGATTCTCCCAAAGAGACTGCATTTCATAACCAAGGAGGGTTTTCCTGGAGTCACTCTCAAAGTTCAGTTGCAGAATACTGCTGACAGTTTTTATGCTCTACTGCAGACCACCCTGTCAGGTAAAATGAAGCACCAGGTCTCAGGTGGCCTTACTTGACAATATTTGATGAGAAGCTTCAACCTAGCAATTCCAGGAAGGAACAAAAGGGCAATGAAAAACCTGATAAATGAAGGATTAATCCTCCTATTTAACCAGGCTATCAAAGTACAGTGTTTGGTCATTGCCTATTTTAAAAATTCATTCAAATTACTTTATTCTTAGAAGTTAACAAGCCCCTATCACTTGCAAAGCTCTATGCTTGATATTATAGAAACTGTAAATAATTAAAAGGCATATACCTGCTCTTAAGCAAGATAAGTTATCACCAGAAACTGGAACTAAATGTGCAATGTATTCTAAGATGGGGCAGTGCTATGTTCCTGAGAAGCAGAGCTGAAGCTGGGAAATCTTTGACAAAGGGTGTCTGAAGGAAGTGTCTCCAGGAGAAACCTGGCAGAGAGTGTGGGAAGAGCCCAGCATAAAAGGAGAAGGTGCAGAAGAATGTGGCTTCCAGGGCACCTCTGGGATGTCACTGTCCCATCTTCTGCTAAGAGAGCCCTGACTATAGGCCATCCTGCAGGAGGGGGCACAACGCCTGCCACTTCTGGGCCAGGTGGCTCCAGTTCTTCAGAGAAACTTGAAAGCGGGAGCCAGTAGCAACAGTACCGGAAGCAGCTGTCTAAAATAAAAGGGATCCCAGGGAATCTAGACAGAACACACACAATATTCGCTGCACAAATGTAAAGCATTTAACACAGGCCTGGCATGTGGCAACTACTAAATACATAGTAATGGGTAACTCCTTTGATAGACCTGCTCTATGAAGCCTTCCTGAACCTTCCCAGTCACAAGTTTCCTCTCCTTCTGTACTCTCATAGCACTTTCTTTAATTTTCGTCTGCCTCCAACGAGGGTTTTGGAGTGTGAGATTCCTTGTTACTCGTTTCCGCATTGCCACAGAACTAGATGGATTCTATAAATTATCGCTGAATTCATTAATGAAACTCTATCATATGTTTCTTTCTGAGGACGACAGTTGTCAATGTAAAATTCTGAGGAAACAGGCAGAGTAAAGGTCTACTACATAAAGATGGGTTCCCATTTCCTGGGAGCTTTGACAGCCTGGGATTATTACTCAGTGGAGAGTAATGGTTAAGACTAGGGAGTCAGGAGCCAGACTGCCACATTCAAACCACTGCTCTACTACTTTAAAGATGAATGACCAGGGGTGAATCATTCAACCTCTCTGTCTTACTTTCTACACCTCTAAGGTGGGAGTAGTAATAGTATCTACCTCCCAGGTTGTTGTGAGGCTCCCATGAGGAGATCTGTGTGAAGTGCTCAAAACGATGCTGGACACAGGGAGTGCCCACTGAGTGTAAGCTCCAGGTTGGTGAGGACAACTTGAAGTGGGGCCTTCAGGGTTGCACAGGATGTGATCAAGCAGAAAAGACAGATGTGGTGGGCAGAGTAAAGGCAGACAAGCGCATGAGCAATGTAGGAAATATGTTCGGGGGACTGGTCCATTGGGGCAGAGGGTTTACAAGATAGAAATCTGGGCGATAAAACAGGAAGAATTGTTCGGGCTTTGCTCGGAAAGGCCTGTGCCATTGGGTTAAAGAGCTAGGATCAGTCCCTGCTGGAGTTCAGGAAAGAGGACAGCAGAGGGACTCGGTGGGAGTGATAGTGCACAGGGTGGGACTGGCTGAGGTTACTAGGAGAAACAGCATGTGCTGTGAGGACGCCAGTTCCAGTTGCAGCAGAGGGCACAAGGCCCTCGAGGACATTCTTGCAGTGTAGGTTGATTAAGGAACCAAATAGACCCACCCCGTATTCAGAAGAGTTCACAGAAGTGGAGGCCCCAGCACGTGGCTAGGTGACAGTCCACTCCAAGGTTTTCCCACCCCACCTCCTTCCTGTAGTTTATGTGCAATGAGCAAGCAAGAGCAGAAGCAAGCCTTGGCTGTGGCTCTGGCTAGTATCCTGTGGGCTGCAGGAGAAGCTCAGAAGGCCACCCTCTGTCTTGTCACTGAGGACATCTACGTCACCTCGACTCCTGACTACTCTGCAGACAATTTCACTGAGCGGGTGAGTGCACTCCTGCCTGTCCTGCCAGAGAAAGGGCCGATGAAACCTGAGTGAGTACTAGACTTACCATAGAAATGGAGGCGGAGCCCCATGGATGCTCCTGTAAGTGTCTGATGTGGCCAAAGGCACTGTCCAAAGAGGCAAGGACATAAAAGATCCAAGGGTTGTAAGAGATCCAAGCACCCAAAATAGAGAATCTGGTTATGGATTTCTCCTTCTGGAATTCACCATGGTCAAGAATGTCCCATACCTGAAATCATCATGATGGCATTTCCATGTCCACTGTCTTAAACATAGCTAAATTCTACCTATTAGGAAAAAAACCTATTTATGGTTTTATGGCTCAAGATATTATATTGATTTAAAACTGAGGGAGGTAAAAGCAAGGCCAGTAGCCACCCGACTTACCTTGTGTGTTTTACATGGCCTTGTGCAAGATGGCATGTCAGTTTTTAGCAATGTGATTTTGCAATGAAACAAGAATCTCCCTTGAGGTAATAACAGTGGCACCTTATAGATGTAGCTTTCATCTTCCTTTTCATTTTTATCTTCTATACCTGATTTATAGCTCCAGCTGTTTGAAGTTTTAGACAAAGAAGCCACTGAGAAATTCATCTATGATCATTTACAATGTGTAAGTGTTTAAGCATTGAGATAATTCTTTTATGTTGAACTGATCTTACAGGAATCTTCTTTCTCTTACAAAATGTATTTTTAATGATGCTTGTTAAGAAACCCAGATCATCTTGAGGGCTAAGGAAGGGCAGAATGAGAGAAAGGAAGCCCGCCTCTCCCTCCCTGCAACCTGGAAAGAGGCAGATCACACACAGGCCACTCAAAAATGCTTCTTTCTCCTTGGTTAATCCAACCTAGAAAACAATACTATAGAGGGCATATGCCAAGATTTTTTGTGTGTGTGAGAAGAGAAAATGTTAAAGCAGTCTTGCCTCATCTAATGAATAAAACACAAATGTGGTAGCCAACTAAGGCTCTAGCCTGAATTGCCAAAATGACCCTTCACACTTACTCCAGCAAGATTACTTTGGTCTGAAAAACGTGGCCCTGTTTCACCTCTTCTATCAGCATCTTCCACACAATGTTTCTCAGGGATGGGGAGGGGACAAAGTAAAGTAGTGATTGAAAATAGAAGGTTGGTTTGTTTGCTTATTTGTTTAAGATTCCTCTTCAGAGTAGGAAATAAAGGTTGATTTTCTGAAGAATAAGTACTCTACAATGTGAATGCAGGAGGCGATGAAATGAGCAGGGTAACCATGAAGCCATACAACTGTGGACTGTATAGAAGGGGGAACTGTGATCCATGAAGCTCACTGCTCCATTCCTTTCAAAGGCCTCAGAGGTGGAATACTTTGGCATGAGTTCTCAGCCACACTGACTACCCAGGATCATGGTTAAACTGCTTCCCCTGAGTCTGCCTCTCCCACCATCTCATAGGTCTGCACCTCAGGCAGAAGAATGGCCCCCCACAGATGTCCATGCCCTGGCCCCCAGACCTGTGAATGTTCCATTACATGGCAAAGGGGACTTCAGTTTACTAATCAGCTGACTTTAAAATAGGGAGAACAGCCTGGGTTACCCAGGTGGGCCCAACGTAATCACAGGATCCTTAAATGTGGGGCAGGAAGGCAAAAGAGAGGGGAAGAGTCATGTGGTATGAGGAGAGTGTCACCATTGTGGCTGGCTTCGAAGATGGAAGGTGGGGACCATGGACCAAGGACTGTGGAGAGGGCTACTGGAAGGTGGAAAGGGCGGGAAACAGATTCTCCCCCAGTGCCTCTGGAAGAACACAGCCCTGCGGACATCTTCATTCTCACCCAGCGAGACCCACGTCAGTTCTGACCTCTAGAACTATGAGATTTGTATTATTTAGGCTACTAAATTTTTTATAGCAGCAATATGAAACAATAAAAACTGTGTGATAGATTTTTCATACTGGACAGGAAATGTTAAGCTGGAAGCCTGCTTAGAGACTCCTTCTTGAGGGCCAGAGATGTTTAATGGGGCTACACAGATAGAGAGGAGCCATGTAAGAAATGAATGATCCTTGTAGCTGGAAGAGGCAAATCCTTCCTGCTCTGTCTTCCATCTCTTCAACTCAGTCCTGGGAGAGTGTGATTCAATAGAAAGGACCCCTCCCTCTTCCGCTCATTTGCAAAGGATTCTTGAGCATTGAGAATCAGAAGATCAGAGCTGAAGCTACTCATGGGCTTTCCCCATCAAAGACAAAGAGTGGAGCTGGAATACGTAATGAAAGCTCTAAACAGAAGCAGACTGCCCAGCACAGGTGGACTTCACACAAGAGCTGCCTGTGTCGAGCCAATGCAAGCTGACCATTCCCATAGCCACGCTGTAGAAGGGCAGGAACCATTTCCTGAGCAAGGTGCAAACCATGACCAGGGGCTTCTCATTATGATCAGCCCCCATTCAGACCTTTTTACCAAATGTCATTCACTATCAAAATGTACCTGTGTACACAGATCTCTAGCTAGATGACTAAGGGCTACATGTGTGCAGTAAGCCTATTGTTTGTTATAGGTTGAATTGCATCCTCCCAGAAAGATATGTTTAAGTCCTAACCCCTAGTACCTGTGAATGTGTTCTGATCTGGAAATAGGGTCTTTGCCAATGTGATCAAGTTAAGATAATGTCATGCTGGATTTAGGCGGGTGTTAATCCCATGACTGGATTAGGAAGGAAACTTGAACATAGACCCAGACACGCAGGGAGAACACCATGTGATAATGAAGTCAGAGACTGGAGTGATGCAGCTCCCAAGCCAAGGGACACCAGAGACTGCCAGTGGCCACTGGAAGCTGGGAAGATCAAGGAAGGGTCCTCCTCCAGGCCTACAGAGAAAGCACGGCCCTGCTCTGACACCTCAATTTAAGACTTCGGCCTTCAGAACCAGAACAGAATAAATTCCTATTGTTTTAAGTCACTCAAATTTCTGATAATTTGTTATAGAAACCCTAGGAAAGCAATATACCTACATCTGCAGTGTTAACCCACACGGTGTTACATTTTTAAAAGTTTGAGTCGGTAACAGTCAAAAACAATCAGAAAATCCCATATGTAAACCTGGATTTTAGCTTTTCTCCCCAAATCATAAAACCTGGCTGCACTCGACCTATAACTTGGCATGTCCTCAACTAACTGCAGCGACTAACTGACAGTGACTCCCACTAGACAAGTTGAGATGGACTGAAGGATGTTACCTCACTGGTGAAAAGGATGTTGTGTGATTAAATTCAAGATTTTGAGATGGGGAGATGATCCTGGCTTATCCCGGTGGGCATGATGAATCAGCAAGGTTCTGTAAGGAAATGGGATGGTAGGAGAGGAAAAGAAAGAGAAGTGATGCCAAAGCAGGGGAAGAAGAGGCTATATGATGGGGGATCATGGGCCAAGGAACAAGGATGGCTTTAAGAAACTGGGAAAGGGAAGGAAACAGAGTCTCCCATAAAGCCTCCAGATGGGACACAGGCTTGCCAGCTGTTTGAGTTGAGTTCAGTGACACCCAAGTTGCGCTTCTAACCTCCAGAACTGTAAAATGATAAATTTGTGTTGTTTTAAGCCCCCCGAGTTTGTGGCAATTTGTTACAGCAACAATGGAAAACTAATGCACACATGTTCTCCAGGTCACCTCAGGCCCCAGCCCTCCCCATTTCTCTCGCTCACGGCCTGCAGTGTATCCATTGGGGTTCCTGTCTGGTTCCTATGGCACCAGAATTTGTCAAGCACTGGCTCCTATGGCACAGGAATTTGTCCTCCTCCCAGGTCACAGATAGCGAAGGGAAAAAAATGAATCCATAAAAGGAAGAGCACAGGCATTTTAACCAAAGCCTTCCTGATACAATGCCTCTAAAGGAGAGGCATCAGCCCCGTGCACCTCAAAAGCCAGCCAAGGAGCTTCTTTTCAGCAGTCAGAGTATTGACAAAAAATGCAGATAAGGCCAATTAATGAGGGGCCCTGCATGTTGGTTGGTCAATTTGGATTTGACCCTGGGGATCACAGGGTACCTTCAGGGAGTTCTAAGCAGAACAGCAACCTGACCAAGAAAAGAGACAGAAGAGAAGTGCCTTAGGGAAGAGCAGCCACTGGATCTAGCATGTTCCAAGAACCAAGGTAGGAATTGTGCTTTATGTCATTTCACTTTTGCACAAAACCTGGAAAAAGGTATTCTGATCTGCAATTGCAGATGAGGAGATTGCAACTCAAGGAAGTTAAATAACTAGGGGTTAATAAGTGGTAGGACTGGTTCTGAACCCAGGTCTGAATAACTCTGAGCTATTTCTGTAAAGCCTTTCTGCTCCCCAGAGTTTCATGGGGAACCAGAGGCCTGCACTGACTGAGAAGAAGCTGGGAAAGGGCACCAGCCAAGAGAAGCGCAGAGAGCCGGGCTAGTATGGACAGTGGGAAAATGGAAAGGAAGGATATGCTACATCTTAGCCATGATTTGAAGAGAATGACAAGACAGAAGTGGAGGGGAAAAAAGATAGGTTGAAAACCAAAAGAATGAAGGAGTCATTGGTAGGCATGAGGCAAGGAAGGAGAATGCATGTGAGAGTGAAGATGGATCTGGGAAGCAGGGAGAGCTCCAGCTGTCCTTCAAGCACTTGGAAAATAAAACTCTCCAGCTGTACATCCTTGAGCCCATGCCCCAGATATACATAGCTTCATTGCTTGTAGGCAAATGTGCTTTTCTTTTGTTTTCCAAACAGTTCAGTGGAGAAGGGAGCCGTGGGGTCATCCTGTTTCTTTACAGCCTGGTCTTCTCTAGAACTTTTGAAAGGTAAAGTCTACAAATATTTGCACAGGTATTTCCTATAGCTCTAGGATCACATAAGCTGTGTACTCTTGTGTTGGAAAATATTTGTATGCCCTGTTGGAAACACAAGTGCAATTTTTTTCTGGTAGATACTCTTCTGTTGATATGTCCTTTTCTGTAGTTAGTCTGGGTAAGTAGATGTTATTGAGAAAGTTTGAATCTGCTTTTCTGGTATAGTAATAAGTTTCTTCTTTTTGTGATTTAAATATTGGCCACCAACAAAGATTATTTGTACAGTATTCCTGAAACTTCTTTTATATACTGCCATCACATTTTTGTGGTCTATATTATTATTTACTTCAGTTTTATTTAAGTCAACACACATTTGAATATCAACTTCTTTCTTAAATGTCATTATCCTTTAAATCATGTATTTGCTGTATTAAAGAATATATGTGTTAAGCACATCACTCTAAAAGTTTTTAAATGTGCATATCTGTACCATCCAAAATCATACCCTACTTTGGAAAACACTGCCCTGAATCATGCCTGATGCCTCCAGATCACTCACTATGCTTGACCCAAGTCTTTAGGACTTATTTACAGAGGAAGGGCTTGACCTCTAGTTTTGTGAATAGATTCTTTCAAGAACACATATAGCTCTCATTCCAGCACTTAGAACCTCCCTCTGGGTGACAGCAGGAGCCATGTGGCACCTTGACTTTAACATTGTCCAGGGTAGAAACCCGACCCCTGCTCTCTGATGAAACAATAGAGGCTGCACTTCTGTAGCCAAGAAATGGACTTAATGCGCAAGCTGGTTTTTTCCACTTGAAGAGTCTGTTCAATTCTGCCTTGTGCCAGCACTCTCTGGAGTGGTCATGTGTCACCACCCTCAGCAAAGCATCCCTGGTCCCTGAGCAGTTTCTCTACTGAGCCCAGCACCAGAACACATGCACAAGCTTCCCAACATGTGAGATCTGTAGCCTCTCTCTTCACCCTCACCACTTACCATTGGCTTCTCCCACCTGCACCCATCGCTTTCCCTATGCAGCCCCAGTCCAAGAAACTTTCTCTGTGAGAGGTGGAAACAGGTGAGGAACAGATAGGGTTGGGGGCAGTGAGTAGGTGAGCCTCTGGGACCGCTGCTTTGGGTTGGGAGTGGAGGGAGGAGCAGCCACATGTTCTCATTGGAGTCCTCCCCTCTGACCAAATGCTGATGGCTCCCCCATCCTGTAGGCTTCAGAAGGACCTAGACGTCTCCACTGTTCACCTGTTACAACCAAGTGTTGGAGGCTTCCTATGCAGGCAGGTAGGTTGGAAGATTTTGACTTTCTGTTGTCTGAATTAGGCTTTTTTTTTCCAACAAAGCATAGTCTCTCTTAAGTGAAGATATATCAAGTTGTCTCTGAAAAACTAAGATGCTACTCTGAGTTTGTTATCAGACTCTACCTTCCAATTTCCATTACAGTACTTTCTGGTTTATCTCTGAGACCCCCTACACCCCTGAGACTCTAGAAACACTAGAAAACACCTTGCCATGACCCACCAGAAATCCCTAATAACTGAAAGAAAGCTACTATAAAAATATCATAACTTCAAGCTTCTTCGGTCATAAGTATGAAAACCAAAGTTCAAAAGAAATGTAAAGAGAGGATGAGCAGTAGCATCTGAGCAGGGTAATGGGAAGTTACAGGGTATGGCTCAGGAAAAAAGTCAATAAACTATTGCTTCAACCCTAGCAATTGTTCATGACATACGTTTTTCTAGAATTATACGTTGTATTATTTCATTCTTTTTAGTAAAATGATAATTTTAAAATTATCATTAGGAAAAAAAGAAATTATGTCCTTCTGTCATTGCGACATAAGATGTAAATATTTGTAAAATATCAAGGTGGGAAGGAATAATGGGGGGAAAGGGGAAGGGTTTTCAGGAACATCTATAAAGGACACATGGACAAAACCAAACGGGGGTAGGACTGAGGGTGGGAGGTAGGGATGGCTGGGGTAGGGGGGCAGACAACTGTACTTGAACAACAATTAAAAAAATTAAAAAGTAAAAAAATATTTGTAACATATGTCATCTAGGCAGTTCTGAACATGATTTTAACTGGAAGAGCAAGTCCACATGTCTTTAATGGCTGTCAAAATGGAAAGTCTCAAGAAATACTACATGGAGTCCTGACCCGCAGTGACGTTGGCTATTTGCGATGGGGCAAGGACACCTCAGAGGATGACAGGCTTTCCCAGGTGAGTGTGTCCTGATTCTCAACCACACAACCAGAGTGCCAGTGCTTTCACATTTTTTAAGTCTCTATATTAAAGCAGTTCAAATCTAAGCTACCTTTAGTACTTTCCTGCATACCTCCCACTACATACACACACGCACACACAGACTTCAGGGGCTAAACAAATATCCAACTCTACTTGCTTCAATACATTTTATGTATTCTATGTATATAGAGTATAGGTAATATAAGTAATATGCAAATAACTAAAAACAAACCTGAAGTATACAGATTAAAGGGAAGTCCCCTTGCATTCCCACCTGGGCACAGCCCCTTCTCAGAAGTCAGTACTGCTCATAGCTAATGGATAGCTTCCCAATCCTTTATGTATGCAAATAAACTCATATATTCCATCTATTGCTCAGAGCCTTAAAAATACCCCTGGGGTTAAAAGGGGAGCCCACTTGATTTTTTTAATTTTATTTTTCAGTTATATTTGACATTCAGTATTATTTTATATTAGTTTCAGGGGCACAGCCCAGTGAGAGGGGCCCACTTGTGAAACTCCCCTCCAAAACTTTCCAGCTCAGGTGATTTACAACCTCTGACAACCAGAAAATAAAATGTACTGGTGAAAAGCACAACCAGAGAACTAAGTAAGATGAGATTCCTCAAAAACAAACAGGAGAGAGAGTGAGGAGGCAAATACACTCATCCCAAACCATAAATCAAAGATATTTCTGTGCTATTTTCACAAAAATTTTCCTCCTAAAACCCAGGGAAGGCAAGGCAGATTCTGTGAAAAGCAACTAACTCTCTGGGGTGGCCTTGAAACCAGCTGGGACATAATCCAGTACAATGGTGACACAAATCTCCAGGCCTCACAGTCCCCAGCCTCTCCCAACCACTGCACAAAATGAGGTCCCTGGTGTTCTGTGGCTGTCCTGTCCTTCACATTCCCTGTCCCAGCTCAGAATCCCTTTTCTCTGTGCAGGGCTACATACTTGACAAGGTCCTTCTATGTCCATAGCATCATCCATCTTTGCCCCTCCTGTTGGCTCCAGCTATGGGTTACATGAAATCAGCATCTCACAACACATGCAAACCATGTGTCTGATGGCATCAGAAGAGTAGTGTGTGACTATAGCAGAATTAGTATGTTTCATATACAAATGTGTTTTAAACGCTTATTTATTATTCCTTGAGTTTGAAATCTAGGTCCATCATAGAAAAATAAGAAGTGACAGATAAGCTAAAAATAAAAAAGATGAACCCAATCCCATAATTCAGGGGACAATCCTTTCAATAATTCCCTCCTTTCTTTTTCTTTCTAATATAAATATGTTCTATTCTACTCTTCTGAAACTTGCCTTTCTCATTTAACACAAATATCTTTATATGTCAGTAAATGTATATCCTTCATCATATTTAATGGATGCAAAGAGTTTCACTGTGTGAGTGTGAAGGACCATACTTTAAATATATCCAAGACAGAGACTGGATTTGTTATTGATATTATCATAAATTTCCTAATCACTTATTCCAGATATTTGGGAATTCATCTTAGAATTTGTTATATAAATAACAACTAGGAAAACTAAGCTAGAATAGGAACTTATAGATTTTATTTTACATATCTCTCTTTTCTTTCAACTATGCATGGTCCCTTGATGTCCACGATCAAGGACTCTGTGCCTGTCAGAGCCCAGTACTATGCTGAGACTCAGTGTGGAGAAAAATGGCAGAAAGCACTAGGGGCGAGTTTCAAGGAGGGACAGCACAAAACCCTCAGTAATAATTTTAGTGCGTTGTCTCTTATTATAAAGCTCTTTTGCAATATTATTTTCCTACGTCCTCATTACAAACCACAAAGATTTAAAGTAGTCATATTTCAGTCAGTTGAGTAATTCACAAGCTTTGTCATATCTCCACACTGCCTCTGCTATTATTTGCTTAATATTTTTCTTTAAATCAACTCACTCTTAAAATAGGAATCCAACCTTTTCTGTAGCAGTAATACAAGCCGCTGATTTGATGTGCTATTTTTCCATGATACCTATTTAAATAAATAAACATATTTTGTTTTAAAAGTTCACCCCTTGTGCCAGTGACTTCATGCCCCATGCCACCAGTGGGCACTTGCACCACACTTTGGAAACCTGGTATAAAAGGAGGAAGCTCTTGTGGTGCAGCCCTGGCCTAGAAACCAAGAGACTTTGTGAAGGCCTTGCCCTGCCACTCACAGGGGTGTGGCTTGGGCCAGTAATCTCCTCTCTGAGCCCATTTCCTCATCTGCAGACTAGTGTACTAACAGCTGTCCTGCTACCACAGGACTGATGTGAAGAGCAAATAAATCATGAAAGCTGAGGCCTATTGGAAAGCAGAAATGACCTACACACATGTAAGACGTTATAAGACAAAGAATAAGAATACAGTGCTTTATTCAGCCATGTTCATTCAGTATCTACTAATTGCAAGGCTCTGTGTCTGATACAGAGGTGAGGCATACATGGGCCAACATATACACACACTGATTGCTACAGGAAGAATACAGGCAATAAATGTTACAGCCACTCTGGTAGGCTACTTGGAAGTTTCTCATAAAACTAAACATATTCTTAACACACAATCCCACAATTGCCCTCCTTGGTATTTACCCAAAGGATATGAAAATTTATATTCACACAAAAACCTGCATGTGGATGTTTATAGCAACTTTACTCATAATTGTCAAAACTTGGAAGCAACCAAGTTGTCTTTTGTAGGTGAATAGATAAATAAACTATGGTACATCAATGGAATGTTATTTATTCAATGGAATATTATTTACAATATTTCAATGGAACATTATTCAGTGCTATAAAGAAATGAGCCCTTGCCCTGGCCAGTGTGGCTCACTTGGTTGGAGTGTCATCCCATAAACCAAAGGGTTCTGGGTTCAGTTCCTGGTTGGGGTGCATGCCTGCATTGTGGGTTTGGTCCCCAGTCAGGACGCATACAGGAGGCCACCAACAGATGTTTCTTTCTCGCAGGGGTGTTTCTCTCCCTCCCCTCCCTCCTCAAGCATGTTCTTGGGTGAGGATAAAAAATAAAATGAAATTAAAAAAATAAATGAACTATCAAGCTGTGAAAACACATGAAGGAAACTTAAATGCATATTCCTAAGTGGAAGAAGCCAATCTGAAATGGCTACATCCCCTCCAGAGTGGCTGCACCATTTGCATTCCCACCAGCAGTGGATGAGAGTTCCTGTTGCTCCACATCTTCACTAGCATCTGGTGATGTCTATGTTATAGATTCTGGTCATTCTAATAGGCGTGTACTGGCATTTCATTGTTGTTTTATTTGCATTTCCCTGGTGATATATGATGTGGAACATCTTTGCATATGCTTATTTGCATCTACATATCTTCTTTGGCAAGGTGTCTATTAAAGTCCTGGGCCCACCTGGAGAGCCTTTTAAACTATCAACGGTCAGGTCCTCCCCCAGAACAGTGTCAGCTTCATGTGTAGGATCTGTGCAGCCACAAAGGGCCCTGCACTTAGAAGGCCCAACACTGGGTTTAATGCTCTGCTGCTTCCATCTTTAAATTCTTAATACTTTCTAAACAAGGCCCCTGCGTTTTCATTTTGCACCGGCTCCACAAACTGTATGGCTGATCCTACAATGATCCTGTGTTATTCGGTTTGGGGAGAACCTTGGGATCAGAACTCTTTAAAGCCTACAGGTGACTTTAATGTACCACCAAGGTTAGAAACCTCTGTTCTAGAGTAGGGAGGCTCAACCTTGGCACGTCTGATGATTTAGACCAGATGATTCCTTGTGGTGGGGCTGTTCTGTGCATCGTGGGATGTTTAGCAGCACCCCTGGCCTCTGCACACTGCATGCCAGGAGCACCACCCCCGAGTGTGACGTCTGAAAATGTCTCTGGACACTACCAAATGTTGCCTGGGGAACAAAACAGCCCCAGGTGAACCACTTCTCTAAAGAGAGAGGAAAAAGCCCTGTCTGGTGTGGCTCCCTGGGTTGGGCTTCCTCCCACGAACTGAAAGTTCGCCATTTCGATTCTCGGTCAGGACACATGCCTGGGTTGTGGGCCTGGTTCCCGGCTGGGGTGTGTGACAGGCAGTGACTTGATGTTCCTCTCTCTCCCCCTCCCTTCCTCTCCCTCTGAAAATAAATAAATAAAATCCTTTTTTTAAAAAAAGGAAGAGGAAAAATTCTCGTTAAGTTTAGATCATTAAATCCATGGCAAGTAGAATTGGAAAACTAGCTATTTCAACTGACATTACAAAAAAAAGAATATTTTCTTTTAATCAGTATCAGAAAGGTTGACAGCTTTCTGTTCCCTTTTAACATTCTCAAGGCTCAGGGGATAAGTTTCAGACCTTATCTTAAATTAAAATTAAACAGGTGTTTGCTAAATAGCTGAGAAAAGTGGCTGTGTTAAGAACATGCCACCAAAGAGGAGAGGGAGGGAGGAAGGGAGGGATGGAGAGAGAGAGAGACTCAAAGAGTCAAGAATTTATAGGCATTCAGGGCTACCATTTTCTCAGGAGCACATTTCTTTCTAGACAAGTCAGCTCAGACCAATGGGGACATTAAATCATACTCTAACAAAAATTATCTCAGATCTTGAAATATTCTCCAGGACCTTAATATTTGCCACAACATTAAAGTCAGTGAAGAGGCTGAGGCACAGATGAAAAATAAGAGCTTTCCTGCTGGGAAGAGGGTGAAACGTATGAGACGACAGGGCCACCACCACAGGCTTGCCCAGGAATTTAAAGTGGGCACCGGATGGAAACTGTTCAGGCTAGCTTTGAAATCTACATAGAAATCAAATCTACAATGCTTCCATCTTTGTGAAAAGTGACTAATGTGGCTTTTCATCCTTCCTTTCTGGACTCAGGGTTGTCTCCCCAGGGAGGTTCCTGTGAATCCTGGCCTCCGTGAAAATTGCCTGAAATTGTACACTAATGGCTTGAAGCCCTGAGGATGTTGATTAAGTTGTCTCTGTC